CGCCCCTGATCTATCTCAATAGGTTCAAAACAAAGTCAAATTGAACTTCTAGGGTTTTATACACCAACAAATACCATTTTTGCAAAACAACTCAGCTTCTACACTACTGGACTTTGTTTTTTAAAAAAAGATATCTAAATATTGATATTCACACAACAGAAGAGGGGGTTAAATGATTTTTTTATTATTATGTGATAGCTGGATCTGAAGAGGGACACCCTATACAGTAACTGCTTTAAATTAAGTATCTAACTACAGCTGCTAAGAAAATACCAGATTCAGAGCGGAACCCAAATAGTATCCCTCCTTCTTTATAGATAGATATATATATAATTTTGCAAAGAATTCATATCAGCACTAGTTCTAGTACCAATATGCAATACAAATAGTAAGGCATACATTTCTGCCACTTGAAACCAATTCAAAAGGGGTAGGGGGCCAAAAAACAGACCTGATGCTTCTAAATATTTGGGGGATTCCACAAATATATGAAAACCACGTAGAGACCTGTCCTTAAAGCAGGGTTAGCCAAAGCTCTACCAAAACTGAAATACGGAGGCAACGTGATAGAGGAGCATGCGCGGTATGCATGGAAGAACGGAATTCGAAAGGGGGGGGGGGGACTGGGGCTAGGCAGCAGGGGCCGAAGCATGCCCACCATGAGCTTGTCCCAGTCATCACACCGCTAACATGTAGGCTAGGAAAGACGGCTTCTCCAGCGGGAACAGAGGAAAGAACCTGTCGCCTGACTGCAGCCTTGTATCCCTCTGCTCCCTGCGCTCGCCCTCAGATTGCACACAGCGTCTGGAGTTCCTAGTTTGAGTAAAAGCTCTGGCAAGAACCACCAAGCCCGCCCCATTCCCCCGCCCCCTGCAAAAAAAAAAATCATTTTAAATCTCTGGGAACTTCTGAAAGGGCCGACTGATCTGCGCTGGGCTCGAGAGACTGAACAAGGCTATTCGTTTACTGTTCAGTAGTTTAAGGTTTTAGAGCGTCAAATGTTCACAAAGTCTATATCCGGCGAAAGTGAGAGAGGCCCGTCCTGGCTCTCGCATCCTGCCCTGCTCGGGCAACGACTAGTCCATCAGAAGACGTGCCCAACTGGAACTGGAGTTTGCACTTCAGTATCATTATCAGGAGATTTTGAAACGTGACAATTTGTCGATTGCCCTCCCGGGGTGGGGGAAGAGGGGAAGCGAACGTGAAGTCCACCTGCTAAACGTATCCGCAATCATTGTGTTCAGATTCCACTTTTCTTACACCGACTTGCATCCTTGATTGCCAATGAACAGTGTATTTGTGGTGACTAGCTAGCTACTAATACAAAGAAACCAAAAGCAGACCGAGTCCTTTCAGTCCTCCTTTTGTGCTGGTGACAAACAAAAGAGAAATCCCAAACTAAATACATAAAGCCAAAAAAAAAATAATTAAAAAAAATAAAGAGGATTATTCTTCCCCCTCCCGACAGCCTTCATCATCAGCCAATCATCAGAATTCAACAGCCAAACGAGCTCGAGTCTGTTTCCACCCTCCTGGTGTCACTTTCTCGTGGCAAGGACAGCAGCACTCGATGGGATGAGGAGTGGTCTTCTTGCTTCCTACAAAGCTTGGGCATATCCAGCTGGGTTTAAAGCAGATTCCACTGTACTGTGGTATAAAAAAGGATGGCAGAAACAGGTAAGTCTTTCCTCTTAGGCATTCCTCTGCATTATTTCCAAGTGGCAGACTGAGGGATGGATCGCGGCGGAATCATATCCAGGAGATATTCACGTTGACGGTCTACTGCTGAAGAACTCTTGTGCACGGCTAAACTAGGGTTAACAAAAGGTAAAGCTCCGCCTGACAAGACAGAAGGAGAGAAAGACAAATGTCACCACACGCTTGGGTCACAGGAAAAGAATAGTGGAGAAAATACCACTCAACGCAGCACCCGCTCTCCAAATAGAAACAAGAGCTAACTGCTGCCATGCATCGCAGTCCAGAGCCTTGCAAAAAGGAAAGCTTCCACGACCACCTGCACAACTGGGACAAAGTCTGAGTAACATATACACCTCCTGCCCCGCCTCCCCATCAGCTTGATGACAATTTTAAGCCATTGCAATTGTCCAGAAAAATAATCAAGATTGATAAACTTTAAGTGAAATTGTACTGGAGGGGGAGGGAGGGGGAGAGGGTGTGTGTGGTCGAGATGGGATGTTCAATAATAGATAGCAAAATAAAAAGTTTACAAGTCACTTGCAACAGCCTCCCTTTCTCAGGGATTCTAAGTATTAGTTAAAAGACTCTTCTGCTTTCCTCCCAACTCGGGTCCTTCCCAAAAAACAGGTAAAATCCATCGTCTGCATCAAAACAGCAGCTATGGTTCAGAGCCGAGTGTTCTGTGAAGCACAGCAGGAGGTGCAGGCTGTAGCCTTACTTAAGGCAGAAAGATCTACTCTCTACCACCTGCCTTGGAGGTCGAATACACCGGTAACACTTCAGACCAAATGAGTGATGAGGGTAGTGGTGCTGGATGCCTATAGTACAGTACTGACTGCATACACGGAGCACTGTGCTCATTCACACCCACACAAGGCAGGTGCCTAACAGTGCTATCCCCCACACAGCTGCATTTTATACTTGCTCTGGACACAACAGGTACAAATGAGCATACGGAGAGGGAGGCAATGCGTCGTCAGAGGCAAATTACCCATCAGGCAGGGAAATGCCAAAGAGAAAACATTCTTACCCACAGCATTAGGATTGTTGGACAGAGGGCAGCTAGCAAATACAAAGAAAAGAACTTTTGAGAAAAATCTACCTGTATTGATGGCAGTCTTCTTCCAGCTGGTAGCGTTGCCCTTGCTGACAGGTCTCTCAGCATGCTTACCTGGCCTACTACCAAGTGCGGCTGCAGAGGATGCATTCTGCAACTTGGGTGACTGGCTAAATGCATGCAACACTCCTCGTGGGGCTCCTGAAGGACCTCGAGACATCTGGCTAGGAGTCTAGCAAGGGAACACGCAATCAGACCACTGGAATGCAAGTGTCGCCATTCTGTACCATGTCCCTCTCCCTCCTTCCCCACCTCCTGCTGGCTGGTGGTCGTAAGGCTGGAAAGAGTTTTTCATCTCTGAAGCAAAATAAAAGCCGCCTTCTGCATGTACATCACTACATCTTTCTATTTTTGAAAGTAAGTGTCTGTAAGAGGCAGGAAGTCTCACTGACTAAGGCAGCAAGAGAGATGGTGTGTAAACTTCCCCAGACATGGTTGCAACACTTCAATCCTGAGTCATGTCACCAACTTTCTGGCTACTCTAGTCCCAGGCAGCACTGCAGCACCCTCTTAATGCCCCTGTGGTTTGTCATGGCTTACAAAAAGAAACGGGGCAAGGAGGAGCCCGAGTGACTCATTGTCATCTATAAAAGGAGTCTGTATTTGGGCCCCAGTTCCTCAGACACGTTACCCATCGCATGGCCAACAACTTGCACCTCCTGCTTTTGGGAGTTCCCAGCTCACGCCTCTGGACTATGTTTTTAAAGGTGTCCACTGGTTTCAATTACCCCAAGCAAGGACTTGTTTAGATGCAATAAACCTGTACTGGCATAAAATTTCACCAACCCACTTGCACCACAGCAAGTTTCTCCAATCTAGATAAGTCCTGAATTATTAAAAGACACAGTATGAAGCGCAGAAGTTCTACTATATCGAACAGAACAATCTTCTGCTCCTGCTACATTTCTGTACCAAATACGGTGCTTGGGAATAACAAATAGATCCTTATTTCATTTAAAACTAGTGAGACTTATTGTAGCCACCACTTAAAAAGTCAGCCACAACCAAGTTAGCTGAACACATACTGTTCTGCATCATTTTTTTTGTCGTTGTCAATAAAGAAATAAAATTTATTTACATATAATAGATATATATAAATATGGACTTGTAATGTGAAAGTGAATAACCATAATATATATAAAAAGGTTATTCGCTTTCACATTACAAGTCCATATTTATATATATCTATTATGTATAAATGAATAAATAAATAAATAAATTTTATTTCTGCATTTATATATATAAAGGTTATTCGCTTTCACATTACAAGTCCAAGTTACCAGATGCCAGAGGGAATTCAACTGTATTATTAAACGAATGAGGTCTCCTTTGTGCTCCCTGGTCTGGCATTCTGGAGTTGATGTGCTCACCTTGCTTCAACTGTGAACTCTATTTGAAATTTAGATTTTTAAACTAAGATCAGCATTTCCCAGGTTGCCTGTTGATACCCAGCATCCTGCTAAATGAACAGGAAAACTAACATGGGTAGAACTGATCCCAGCGGTCTTTCCTGCTCAGTGCAGGGGGCTGGACCCAATGATCTGTAAGGTCCCTTCAAGCCCCTAACAACTATGAAACTATGGACTATAAAACTCTTCTATCGTTACAGAAATGATTTATAATTGTCTGCAATGCTGGGCCCTACCATTGTGCCATAATCAAAAAGGCCTGCCTTGTGGATCTAAGAAGGTGGCTGTAACGAACCAGCACATGATCGACTCTCGTTCCCTGGGCACCATCAGCCCCCCTTCACCTTCTGACTATGTATGTCTGTGCCCTTTGTCACAAGTTTATAGAGAATGAAGTATCAACTTTCATGTGTGTTCCTTCAAAGACAAGGCCCGTGCACAGTGCGAGTGTACAGCTATGGAGCCTTCGCTGGTTATAATGAACTGCAAGTCTAACTCGTTAGGTCTCTTACCTGTTTGAGCGAGTGGTGCTGGACTATGGATTCTGACTTGGTCTGTACAGGAGAGGCAGTCTGTTGCAGTATCCGCTGCTCGATTTCCTGCTCTTGCTGCAAAGCTTTCACGAAGGCAGCCTTCAGTCGATTAGTGTGCTCAGCTTTCAGGGCCTTTTTCTGATTTGATGTCATGCAAGTTTCGCACATAATGGTTCCATTCTTCTCTTCCCTCCAACGGCAGGTGAAGTCAGTCTTACACTGAGCACACACGTAGGGCTCACGTGATGATGCAGCAATCACAACTTTACCTACAACATGCAGCCAAGTTAGTTCAAACTCAGTACTGGCTTGTGCAGAAGTTAAGGTTATTTCCCATTCCCTATGCAGGGGTCCAAAAATGATTTAAGCCTTTATTATGCGTTATATTCTTAAATTATCCTCTTAGTCCTAGTTTCTTTAACTATTTTAAATTGTGTTCTGAGCTCATTACAATCCCAGCACACTGAGCTAGTCTAAATGGCTTGTTGGCAAGATTAACCAAAAGGCAACTGCTGAAAAAGCCACTGCAGAGCAAGTAGTGCAGAACCCCAGAGGCACCAACTTTAAAGAAACCCCTCTCCTCCCGAAACAAAAAATATTAAACTGGGGGGAGGATTATTCTCCAAATATATTTCTATCCAAAACCCATAAATGACTACAGTGGATAAATTCTTGCCCCTTCCCTCCTATAATCAAATACATCTTCAAATCACACGCATCTCCTCTCGTGCATTGAGAGCTGTTAATGCAAGTACCATTAATGACCAAATGAATACCCAGGGGATAAAGTTCTTACCCCCTTGCTCCTTTCCTATGGCTCAAAATGAAAACAGAAATATACTATTTTAAATGCCCCAAAGTCTGTTAGACATATGATGGATGCCAAAAGTCCCTGCTTCATGGAGACTGGAGTCCAATTTTAGACAGGTCATAACAAGGAACTATAATTAACATACCCTTTTATTTTGCTAATTAAGTCACAGACTTAAGACCCGTGCACATTCTGACATGTTTGTTAAATTAGCGTATACTTATACATATCTCTTTTTTGTTTGAGAGCCACCTCAGCCTTCATTCTAAGCACGGATGCACATGTTCATTTTAAATAGTGTGCTAATTAACAAAACATGCATAAAATCATGCTCCTTTCCATTCCTAATCACCTATTGCTGTAGGTCCAATCTATTCAAGACCAGTCAACTTCTCCCTTAAAATATCATACAAACTTGTGACACCAAAGCCACCTGTTCAAAGTGTTACTTAAATACTCTTTGCATTCAACTGATCAGAATTATAATTACCTCTCCAGGGGATAGCTCTATTGGGGGTGGGAGGAGGGGAAGCATACGCTGCTTTACAAATGCTGTATAAAAGTTTTTAAAATGCAATTTTTGGAAGGGTTTCAGGCATCCCACCCTTCAGAAAGATAGGGTTTGAACAGGGGTTCTCTCAAGGGGACACAACCAGATCACTGGTTAGCCAGAAGTTGAATTAATAAGCGTGTACTGTTGCTGCAAACAACAGGAGGCAGCAAGGAAGGGCCACCTTTACCCAAGAGGAAGGAGGCTTTCAGCAGTGTATAAGACCAGTGAATAAAAACAGTTTGAGCAGTTCCCACTGCACTTTCTATTTTAAAACCCACAAAAGAGGTAAAGGTTATCCTCATTTTAAAGCTGGAGGAACTAAAAAGCATCAGGTCTGAGTTAAGATTAACTGACATTCGTGACTAAATAGCCAGGCTGCTTTTAGAACTGGCAAGAGTGCCTGGTCTCAACTTTAATACGCTCATACTAAAGAGATCTCAAATGAGGTGGAGCGCAGGTGCAACATAGTAAAAGCCAGATGCCTTCAGAATAATTGATGGTTCTAGCTTATTTCAAAACCTTCAGGATTTAGGCCTCAGGCATCCACTGCATGAGCTTACCTTGAGTTTCTAGCAAGTTTTGCACCACTTCCTCCAATCCAACCAGGTAAATAAACTCATTGTTGGCTGCACTAGGCAGGAAATGCATCTCTGGTGCAGGTGGCTTTGGAGGTGGGATCTCTAGCAGCGTCTTCTCCAGCTGCTTGCGCAGTGCAAGTTTGGCAGCAGCTTGCCGGCTGGCTGGGGAATCATTGGAGTTCACTATAGAAGCAACGCTGGTAGTGGTGGCGTTAGCCTGAGCGGATGTCACGGTTGTACCTTTTATTGAAGTTGGTGAGGCCTTCAAAAAATAAACATGGTATTCTGGGTCAATGATAGCTACCAAATTATTCAATCCCTCTGGCCTAATCTAACTTGTCCTTTCTAGGAAGACAGATAATGAAGAGGATAAACTTTGTTAATAGTGCAACACAGACACTTGTTTACTTGAATGGCAGAAATAGTGAACGATAAAGCTGAGAAGTTTGAAAAAGTTATTTAAAAGTCCTTCCCTCTCTTATACTCCTTAAGTGTCGAACGACTGGCTTTTACCCTGTGTTTCTTCCAAATTATAAACCGACATGCCACTCCTCTGCTAAAACAGGTATCAATATCAGCATTAAGAATGAACAAGTTGTTTATGTCCTTCATGGGTTCCCTAAAAGGGAGTGCAAAGGCCATTCTGAATTGTGCGTAAAGCGGTAATCATTTCATTTATGCAAAAATAAAATGCTTGCTTAGGGAGAAGAGTGGGGAGGTGGTTACAGGAGAGGGAAAAGAAACGTGGATTCTGGAGGACATGAGTTCACGTGAAAATGTCAAGCGCACAGTTGCAGAGCTCCAAAATTCAGCCTGGAAGAAGTTTCTATTCTGTCCAAGTCTCATCCTAGGGGAAGTCTCTCAAAGCATGAAGTATTTCCTGTCTTCTCACAGAAAATATACAATTCTAACTTGGAATTTTTTGGACCCAATAAAAATCTGTTAAAAGTTGTGTGAAAAAAAGAAGAAAGATAAGACTGCAGGGACTGACTTTTCCCCCCCGTGTATTAATGCTACCTAGAGCCTCTTGAGAGCACTGTCTAGAGAAAGAACAAAGAACAGAGCAGTGGCGATAACAAGCAGTTAGGAGAGAAGAGAGCAGGCACCAACCAGTCATTAGATAAAGCAACCGGACAATCAGCAATCGTATTTGTTCCCCTCTGGTCTTTCAAGACGAGTTACGTTTGGTGCACATCAGCTTTTAGAGCTCACCTGTGGAATATTGACGAGCAGGCTGGTATTGGGGACATTGGCCACGCGGATTAAACCCTGTTGTATAATTCTCTGCCCCTGAATCTGTACGCTGGGGACGGATGCCCGTGGTGCCAGCAGCAGTGGAGGTGGCCCCGTGCTGGAGTGCTGTCGGATATTGTGGATTTGCTGGGGAGACACAGAAATGGGCTGATGCAATGGTACCATGAAGGATGAGATGGGGGCGGTTAGAGGATGGGAAACGGTGGGTGGCAGGTTAAGTGGGATGAAAGGATGTTATGGAAATGAACCATGGCAAGGGACAAAACACACGCAATGAATATTAACAGAGAAGTCCAACCTTGCAGCTTCATTTTGACCGAAAACCCATTCAAAGAGAAACTATGTAGAATGCAACATCAGAAAGAGATGCTTAAATCCGAGGCCACTGCGTTTCTCAATACCAAAGCTGGCTACGCTTCTGGCTCAAGCTTTCAAGTCCATATTTCTTTCCTTAACCATGTAGTTCCTACACCTCCTGTTTTAAAGTTATTAGTGCGGCTATTGTTACTTTATGGTACAGTGAATATGCTTTCTGCACGATAATCAGGGCTGAAAGCAAGTGAAATCCCGAGTGCCAGACTTTTTTCCTTCAAGTCAGTCAGAAGACCAAGCAGACATTAAAAAAGCAGACCCATGGTTGCAAAATAAATCCCTGCTGAGCCAGATCAATATTACCTTGTAACGCACAGTGGTGACAGTCTCCAATGGATCATATCAGATTTAACTACCTCCCCTCCCCTGCTTTCCTAGTGGAATCACTACCTTCTCCTCAATATGGGGCAAATGGGAATAGGCATGAGATTTTATAACCAGATTTCTAGTTCTCCAGTTGGTCACCTCATTTACTGGCCTACTAAGCCAGTCAGGTATTGAGAAAAACTACAATGTTATCATCTGAACAAGAGTCAAAATAGACGAGACAGGGAAGGAGGAGGGAAAAGAAGTTAAACACACAATTGCTTTAAGTTTTCTATGCTGCTCGGCTGAACGAAGGCAGTAGGCTCCGAGTCTTGCTTTTAGGTCCCTTCAGCTGCAGCAGGGTTAACAAAAGAGGACAGTGCTCTGTGCCACTGCACAAGACCTGAGTTCGAGCTTTTCTCTTGGTCTATTAAGGGTGCTACAACAGACTGCATTAGCAAGCATGGGGCAGAAGGAGGTTGTGGTCATAATGCATCCAAGTCCATTAAGGCAAAGTCCCTAGAAGAATCACGTCCAGGCCAAGGGGGACGGTGGTACCCAACACGCAGCCTTGAAGGTGGAATGCAGATGTGGAGAGGATAACAGTGAGAATTTGCAGGCCAAGGGGGAAGAAGTGGAAACATTTGGAGAAGTCGAGGGGATGTACCAAGAAACCACCTCTTACCTGCGCTCCTCTAACAAGAGGCGGCATTACGATCTGTGTGTTCTGCTGAGATCCCAGCTTTGAAGATGCCTGCTGCCCGCCACGGACTAATGGAGGGGGGATAACAGTGCCTGGTATGCGTGTAGAAGAGGTCTGAAAAACAGAAGGGCATTAATTTCTAAATTTTTCCATACTTTTAATTCAGCCTAACAAAATTAGAGAGACAGCCAGAGACTGCATTGGATACCCCATCATTGCATGAATAATTACTTCCTTTTGATTTTGTCTTCTCTTTCTTCCTCTTGACTTTTTCTACAATTCCAGTGTTCTTGCAATTGTAACTACGGGAAAGCTCTTGCAAAGCAGTGTCTTACACCAAGCACTGAACATACAGGTTAAAAAAGGTTTTCCAGCTGCTCCAGTTAGAAAAATTGACAGGTTTGATTAACAGCATGTCCTGTGGTAACAACTTATTTCACTCAGCGTAACACAGCTTTGGACATCTGGCTCCCTGTTCATCTGAGAGGCACAAACTGACCATGGTTCATGAGTTCAGGATCTCACAAGACGCGAGACTTCTGCTTTCCCCATTTTTGGGGAATAAAATGGCACAGCTTGAAGAGTGAGGGGAACTTAATGCTCTACCCGCTCCTAGCATCTTTTTCATTGAAAGACTTCAAACGCAGCTTGCAATTATTAGCTAATCTTCCGAACAAACCCAGGAATTATTGCAATACTTAAGTGAACAGATAAAGAGGCTATGCAAACTCGCTCCAGATGTACATCTCAATCAGACAAAATGCGATCCAGGAGCTCCCTGTTCTGCTCTACCCCAGACAACTGACTGTAGTCTCACACTCTCTTTCTGAAGATGTCACATGCTGGTCTCAAGAGTGCTGTTTAACTCCTCTGGTTCCAGGAAATGAGACGATGACCCATCAAAATAAGCTTTTTTCCCCTCCCCTCTGGTCTTAACTTTAAAAAGCTGATTGCAAAGGCTACCACTGATTTAAACAACAAGAAAGATATCTGAAGAACCAAATCACTATTTTGGTGCCACAATTTTCTCCCTTTGGCTACTATGCACCGTCAGCTCCCCTGCACACCCGCAACTTGGTAAGAGGAGGCCCCTGGAGCTGACCTGAAGGGATGGCTTGCCAGAAGGAACAGTCTGCGTTCCTCGCACCAAGGGGGGAGGCGTAGCCACAGCACTCCCCGAGGAACCGGCTGGCTGGAAGAGACAAACAGAAAGCATGAATACGAGGGCAGAAGTACAGCAGAGTGACCTCCCTGGGCCTCGGAGGAGAGTCTTTCAAGACATCGTCCCCCTCCCACAGAGCACTTGAGATATGTTTAAGTAGATAAGATGGTATCGACTTGCTTGCTTCCACAGGAATGGAAAACTATAATTAAAACACAGAGTAGCAATTAAGTAATTAAAAAAATAATAAATCCAGTAATCTGGTGAGATAGCTTAAATTAATTTGGTCTTACTGTCCACTGTGACTAGTCACAACGGGTTAAACAGGACATTCTGGTTTGAGGGATGGATTTCTCCTAAATTTATGTCCCAACTCCCCTTCCCCATTTTCATGAGTTGGAAAGGTTTAGGATCCAAAGACCCACATCATCTCTTGTTGTGGTACAATCATCCCTCAAACCAGAAGGGTGGGGTCGAAGAAGTCGCCTTGTTTTGCATTGTGAAATCACAAAAGATTAAAAGGGATGCTTCAAGATATTGGGAAAGGCTTTCAAAATGCATGGTTGTCTTGTTCTCCTTGGTCAATTCAAGTATCCAAAGTTCTTATTTCTCCTTGTGCAATGCATGTACCCAACACTGAGACTGTTTCAGCACATAAGGGTTATTAAAAAAAATTCAGAAGAAAAACCACCAAAAAAAATAGGGAAGCAATACACTTCTGCCTGTCTGATTTATTTGACCCCAGCAGTCGTTCCTGCCCCGAGCAGGGAGGCTGGACCTGATGATCGTATGAGGTTCCTTCCAGCCCAAAACTTCTGTGAATCTGCTTCCAGTGTGAACCATAATGCTTTTAAAAACAAGCCTGTACAAAGTCTTACCTTCCATAAAGTCATAATTGCATTTTAAAAATTAAAAAGAGTTTAAATTTATTTTTCTTAAAATTACCTGCCAGGACTAGGATTCAGGATTTTGAGTGTCCCTAGCCAGGGCTTTTTAACACCTCTGAAACTAACTTAAAGAATACAGCGCTTCACCACCAACTCTGATTGTTCATGGCTCAAACCTTTTTAATGTCAGAAACCCTGAATCTCAGTGCTGACAGGTAAAGGAGCCATTTCAGGGTGACCTATTACACGTATTCTGACAATATGTATGCTGCATAACAACTAAAAAAGATCTTGCAAATCCTTATTTTAAGCATACCACATGCACATAACATTTTTAAACGGCCAAAAAGTCTTCAAAATGAAACAACACTGATTTGACTGGCAGCTTGAACAGGAAGACTAAAGACAATGGTGAAATCAAAAATCTGGAAAGAACAAGTCGTGTTTTGGAAGAACCAGATATGCAACAGCAGAGTTCAGGCAATCCACCGTATATCATTTGAGAGAGAGATATAGTGCATAATTCTTGTTTTAAATGCATACTTAAATTCAGGGGGGAGGTTTAACACCCGTGGAAAAAACTATTGAATTAGTAATACAATACGTTAAGAACTTGAGGTTAGTTTCTAACATGTAGCTGATCAGGCAGGTCTTTCAAATGCGATAGTAGTAGAGAGAAAGAAGTCAAAGCACTCATTCAAGAAAAGTCACAGCATAGACATGCATGCATCTCTACTTTGTGATATGCCTCCATAAAGCTGTCTGGGTGGTACTATATGAATGTTACCAAAAAAAACCCCTTTTTGGTGATTCGGTGCATGAGGAAGGGTATGGAAGCATGCATGCTACCAGTTGCAGGGTGTATACTCTAAATATAAAGGAGTCATTTAAATAGTCTTTTAAAAGAGCCATCCATCTGTTCCAGAATAAAATCACCTATATTTAAAACGAGGAATTGCATTAAACCTATAATGAGCCTTTTGGTGCATACGTGGCATATGAAACTATTTAGCAGAGAGGAAAAGAAACAAACCTAAAAAAAAAAAATCCCCAAACCCAAAACACCAAAGTTTCAAAATGGGTTTGACTTTTAAAGCAATGAGTTTTAAGATATCTACCAGACGGGCACATTTTGAAACACAAGGACCTGAATTTAAAAAGAAAGTTCTAACAGGAAATAAACGGCAACTCTTCCAAGAGATGTCTACGTTGATTAGAAAATGATGTGGAGCACCACAGATTACAGCACCCACCACAGCCACTTGTCAGACATCTGTGGCGAAATAAATACCTTCTGAGTAGTGGTCTCTTTCTGTATTTGACTCTGCCGCAGCTTTTTCAACAAAACAAGTTTTGCTTCTTCTAACCGTAACTCTTCTTTCAGCTGCTTAATCATTCTGTCACGCTCCTCCGGACTGCTTTTCTGTAAGGACAGGTTAGGTTTAAAGGGCGAGAAGAGAATATAACTTATATGACAACCTACTGCTGTATAACTCAGAAGCATTTATCAGACACACGGACATCAAAGCTAAGGAAAGCTCTTAAAAACAAAAGCATATTCTAAAATCCCTCCTCTAATTGAGGAAATAGATGACAAAATGAACTGTCAAACAAAAAACTTCAACTGTGCTGTGCTGCTGTGGGAATACCGTGTGTATTAAATACCAAAGAGACCTCTAAAAAGTTTCTTATTTCTGTGAAGAAGAACGGGGCTGATGAAGCTGGTATGAAGAAGATTTAACAGACAGAAGCCCAGACTTCGATCTTCAGTAGAGCCTCAATTACAAGAAACTCCCTTCCCATAAACCAGACTGCCTAAAGTGGTGCACCAGTTGGTAAAAATAGCTGTTGAATACTCTATGCCGGTGATTCTCAACCAGGGTGCCGCAGGGTACCTTTTAGGGGTGCTGCAGGGTTAGCACAGTGTTGGCACTATTAGTTTGGTGTGGAAAAACAGTTCGCAAGATAAACCCAGCGATTTCAAACAAGAGCTGTAATGTTAAAAACATTCTGCCCTCTTGGGGTCTTTCTGAGTACTCTGCAAATAGCTACTTTATTTTTCTGTAGTCAAAGAACCAAGTGACGATTTTCCAACAAGTGCCTCAAGTCTAACAAGGTTGAGGGTCACTGCTCTATCCTGTACTCTAAAACGGTTGCGATCAAAAGAATCAGCCCCTACATCCTAGTACGTTTAAAAGGCAATAGCCTAGATGACATCAAGATGAGACTCACCATGAGTGCCTCTGTGTTGGTCTCTTTTAATGCTATTTTCGTTAAACCATTCATTCTAGGGCTTGAAGGTTCGTTGTCAGATAACACTATGACATCAGGAGAGGGGACTCTCTTTTCTCTCTTTATATCGCTGTAAACAGAGAAGCAAGACCAGTTACACACACAGATTAATTAATAATAGTAAAAGACTTCCCCCCCATGCAGCAAACAAAAGTTCCTTTTTTCAGCTCTTACTAGCTGATCAATTTTGAACACCTCAACTATGAATGAAGTTTCTAGTACAGGCCAAAGTTTGCCTCCAGTTCCCATTTCTAAATAAAAATGATGAGAGCAATAAACAAGTCATATGAAATGGTACACTAAATGATCAAAGAACTGGGACCAGCCCTTACGTCCCTGGCTTTGGTAGCCTCAAACACAGATGATAAATATGATGTTAGTTTATTCACTTCCCAACAGGAAGTGCCCAGAGCCTGTCAATTCATTCATAAATGCAAACGTAACATCTCTCAGTCATTGAGGACCAAGGCTATGAAAGCAAAGCAACGACCTGGAGTTGTAAGAAGCCATCCATAACTCAGGGCTCATCTCCAGAGCCAGCCCGCTCTCCAGCTGCACTTGCATGAGAACTGGAAGATCAACACCTGCAATATGCCAGGGTTCAATGAATACCACTTGAATCTAGGTACTCTCCCTCCCGCTGGAAATGTCTAAGTTAAAACAGTAACTCCGGGGCACAAGGACTGTTTGCCAGAGTCCTAAGGATCCTGGGTGCATTTCAGCTGCAATTCCTTTCAGTGCAGCAAATGGGAAACACTCTCACAGTTGAATAGACTTTTCCATGCAAGACCCCTGTTACTGTCCCTGGCAGGTGCCTTCCTATTACTTTCAAATTGCAAGAGCCTAAAGCGGACATAAAATGCCTCCATTTGGTATATACCCCACCGTACAAAAACAAATGAACACACTCAAAGACAGATCCGATGCAGCTTGAACAGGACAATGTTCAGAGAGTGCAGCCCCACCATTAGCTGTTCTGGTTGAGCTTTACTGGAGCCCATGCTGAATCCAGAGACCTGAATTACCTTTGAACTCCATCACGCACCAGTCATACCAGGACTGAATTCTCAACCATGCTGGCAACAATGCACCGAGACACATCACAGCGCAACACAGTGCCACGGTGCACTAGTGCCGTTCATCCTGCCATGCTGGACAGCTTTTGGATTGGACTTACACGGCTTGCAAAGTTTTCCTGGCTCAAGACATCCAGGAGAGGCTATTTCCCAAGTGAAATAAGATCTCAAGCTGAAGTCAGACCTTAGCAAAACACAGCGGAACAATTGTGGCAACCCTTTGATGCTAGGATTTTGGATGTTTAGATGCAAGGTATTTTGCAGCAAGACTGCCAACACCGCAAGAACAGGGATTTAAGAGGCATTTTGCAGGCAAGCCCAAATAACGCAGCCTCCACTACAGCTACTGGAAGGTTTGTGTCTCATGGACTGAGTCTTTGAGCATCACGTTAGCGGAAATCTTTAAGTTGTTTTGTTTTTTGCATTTCTACCTACAATTTTGACATTTGCAAGAAAGCATTGTAATAAGCTTTTTGTGAACCAAGCCATTTTAAGTGCACTGTTGACTATACTGGTCTGTAAACAACCTCATAAAACCAACAAAGCCAAATGAAGCGTATAGCCAAATAACCATTCAAAAAAGCATCTCTTGTGAACCAAACCTATCTACCTCTCATTTGTACTGCAGGGCGAATATCATTGTAGTCGCAACCACGAAATGTGGCAAGTTAGCGCATAAAAATCAGGAAGTTTTCTTCCAACATTATGACACAAATTCCTGCCCAAAGCAGGGAGGTTGGACTCGATGATCTTTCAAGGTCCCTTCCAGCCCTTCATTTCTGTGATTCTGGCATTAACTGCCCTTTTTTGACCTATCCGGATTCTTCAAGTAACTCGTTTTTAAAACTAGTAATGTTTTACTTAACGATGCAACAGATACCAGGCGTACTAATGCTCTCAAAATTAACTTCCCAGTTGCACAGTATCCTTTATTCCTGTGCTGTTTATAAGACACATGCAAAGGCAGAGTAAAATCCATGCTAGTCCAAAGTTTCCAGGATATTACCAAGTAACAGCCTCATCTCTGTAGAGTCGATACTACACTTCACGCAGCATCCACCACAGCAACGGAGCAGAAAAGTGAATTTAAGTGTCCTGTAGAGGGCACAGCGAGCCAGTGAAAGACTTGGCTCTGGAAGGGAATTTCAAAACACCAGGGGCACAGGTGAAAGTTTTAAAGCTAGAACTTGTCTGATTAAAATGCATCAAATGGGCTGCCTGGAGTAAAACAGGACAAGGAAAGGAAAAGGGCACCTGTTCTGAAATACATACTTCAGCAATAATGCAACTGAAAAAGCTCTTAGTAAAGATCTGACAATACCCTCTTCCCCAGTAACACTTATTGCCCCAACCAGTTAAAATGTGTATATATAAAATCAACCAAAAAAAGAAGTGTTTAACCGAGCAGCTAATTTCTGTACTTAGGTTACCAAAATGTATATATTGATAGGAACCGGCTATAAAAAGTTTTCTGCACGGACAACCCAACCTGACATTTTTCAAGTCCAAAGGATCTTCTCAAGCTCCACCCTTAGTATTTGATAGACCGTGCTTCTGCAGAGGGTAACGCTATAAGGTACATGTGGGAGCAGCATGCTTTAAGTAGCTCCTACAAACCCCACTACCGCCTGGCTCCCTGTAGGCTTCATTCACTACGGCTACGAATGATGTATTGCAGAGCTGACATTCTCCCTATCTGCTCTGAAAGGCCATAAACTACCTAAGAGCCACACAATCTTGGCAAGTTGAACAAAGTTTTGTAAACTGATCTGCCGGCTACTGACTCATCCCTCTCTGTAGCTGAGAAATAAAGTTAGCTAAGCTTCTAAGTGGGCCATTGCAAATTTAATACGAGAACATCAGCTTGTATGCAATCTCCATGCAAGAATCAATGTGGTTTAGAGACACGAACCTGTATGAACCAAGTGCGGATTTCAGCAGCGCCTGAGTCTGCTGCAAAAGGATTATCCTCGTTTTATCCTCTTGGAAGAGGCCTTATCCCGACTAGCTCCCTCCGCAAGGGATGAAATATAGGGCACGCGTGTGGGCATCAAGCGGACGCAGGCTGGAAGAACGGGAGGCAGCAGTTCGAAACTGGCTGCGCCACTCCAAGACCATTAGCCACGTTTCAACTGTTGTGTTTAAAATAGAAGAAACTTAAAAAAGTGACGTGTCAAAAGGAAGTTGAATTGAAGACCACAGTGCTGATCGGGGGTGCTGCGTCGGCAGCAAGGTCCTGGTTTAACCGTTCCAGCCGAGCCCGAGGATAATCAATGTGTGTGTTTAGACGGGTGATGTCACCCCATCAATTATCACAGCATCATAACAGGCAGCAGGGAGCTAACTTCCTGTATGCTAATCAGGCCACCAAAAAGTCATGTGACAAAGGCATTTCCCTTGCTAGTCATGTGACCCTTTAACTGTTCCTTCCACCGTGAAAACCATGGCAACAGCCAGTTCCAACCGGTTTGTGACACATAGCCTTCATTTTGTGAGGTGAGGTAGGGTGCAGGTACTGTGAGAAAATGGAGCAGCCTCCTAAATTCAGGGGCAGCAGGAGCTTGCTGGAGCAGCTGCCCACTTGTGCCAGTCCCTGCAAACACCCCCAGTGCAGCACCGGGACAGCCTCAACTTCTTCACTTTGCAAAGTTTAAAAAAGTTTGCAGATGCATGCACCGGTCAGCTTCCACAGCCCTAAAAAAAAAAAGGCACCCTCAGTTCATTAAACTTTTTAAAAAGTTTATCTTGAGAAGTGGCTGCTCGGGGGGGAGGGGGAAAGTGAAAAAAGCCAAAACAGCGCTTGCTTGTGCACGGTTCTTTTCCAACTTTTAAACAAAGTGAAAATCAAAGGCAGAGAAGAAATTGAAGCACACTGGGAGTGTCTACATGTGCATTTACTATGCAGTAAGTTACTGCGGTTTCCAAGCCAGCATCTACACATGCAGGCATTACAGCACAGTAACGCTGTGTGTGGACCAACTTGGGAGTAAAGTTAGTCCCAAGTCGGTCCACACACACTGTGCACTAATGCGTCTACACGTGTTACTGCGCAGTAACTACACACAGGTATAAATTTGCTACCTGCATTGTGCAGGTAGCAAATCTATGCCCAAGTGGCATAAGTTGCCATAGTTCCTGCGCAGTAACCTAAATGACTGTGCAGTAAGTGTGCACATGTAGACACACCCACTGAGTATTAAGTAATTCAGAGAGGGGAGGGGAGGAATGGGGAAAGGGGACAGACAGACTAGGAGACACATCCGACACGTGATGATAAAGCAGCTTTAATTTAATTAGCATATGATGTTAGCTGATCTGAGAATGATCAAACCTGCACTGAACACACTTTATTGCAGAGGTCTACATTCATCACGGTTATTTGGGTAACATCTCTTTGACAAGATTAAGACAGGAAGATAAGCAAGCATTACAGGTTCTCTGCTGTGAAGAGATACCTTGAATAATCATAATTAAAAAATGGATTTAATATGGTCCATGGGAAAGAGATAGAGTATTAAAAGCCAGTCATGTGATGGGGGAAAAAAACCCTCACTCTCTATTCCTACCGGCATCAACTCATCTAAAGAACCACTGAGGATATCTGTAGACTTTGGTACAGTAACCAAGAAATAGGGGGTTACCTCACTGACATGAAGAGCAGTTTTGGAAACCTGAGGAAAGAAAAGATTTTTTTCCTTTTTCGAGGTGCTGCCCACCAGTATGTCTGTAAGAAAGCTCTCACAACCTATGTGTTCGAGACATGCACCGATTGCCACATTCACACTAGGCTGAAATTCTGCGTTGCTTTTGTATCGAGTAATACTATTGCTTCGCATTTTTGACTAGCGACATCACGGGCTATAAACATAGATTCGGTGTTCAGGATGTTTCATTAAATAATTAGTAGATGAAAGTTTGAGAGTATACAGGACTTTGAGGCAAGGTCACTTTTATACTGTCCCTCCAAAACTTGTGCCTTCCCAATTGTTTGGTT